TTTGAAATGTTGACTTATATTGATTATTGATTTTTATAAAATATCAATAACATTTTAAAATGATGTACCTAATACAAATAATATGCACAGCTTACGTTTTTCGCATAAATATTGTTTTTATAGCAATTAGAAAATATCAAAACTGGTTGACCATTTTTTGATAAGCTGGGTTATAGAAGTTTAAATTTTATTAAAACTACGAAGATTGGAGAGTTATTTTGCAAAAAATTAAAGAAGGTGTATAAACTAAAAAAGTTACTACAAGTTTTTATATAAGTTCACTTTAAACGGTAAAAAAATAACAAAAATGTATTACACACAATATTAATATATATCAATAGGTATACCTATACATATAAATAAACAATATAAATGAACAAATGGCATTCATTTAAAGATAACGAAAACTTTTTGGTAATCTAGAAAATTAACTATTCTAAAGAAAAACAAATTATTATATAAACAATAGGTATATTATATATATATATATTATGGTAGGTTCTATTTTGTTAATTATAGTCCTTAAGTACTGAATATGTACAATTTGGGCCATTTGGGGGGAAAAATTAATGATTTGGTACTTAAACAGTGAGGAAAACTAGTCTTGTATTATGCATGTATTTTGGATTAATTACATAATTAAGCAATATAAAAATTATGAACAATTTTAAATATATTTATTTTAATAATTAGGTACCTAGGTACCAACACAACATTAAAATGTAATTTTTTGTTCTGGTAGCTCGTACCAAAAATTCGTCACTTAGAAAATTATAGTTAAGATAAACTTTCGATTTTTAAGTTCAACGCTGAGTCAAAATTCTTGGAATATTAAATACAAAATCTATGAAAGTTATTTTTAAACCTGGATAAATATTATAATATTTTTTAAATACATTTTAAATTCGATTTTTTTTTTATCGTTAAAACCACATTAATCCGTAAATGACAAGTACATATATAGGACTCGTAAAACTATATACTTAAGATCTTCAATTTTTATAGAGAAGTTTTGAAAATGTAATACAATATATTTAAAAAAATAATTCGTTCTGGAACTAAAACACTTAAAAAAATATGCAATCATAATTATTTTAGATACTTAAAAGTTAAAATTAAAATTTACATATTTTATCGATGATTAACCATGTATTATTTTGCTTTAATTCAAAAATATTTAACGTATGTCTACATTATGAATTTAACTATATGCAATAGCCAATGATATAAATATTCAAAATATGTAAATTAGTTTTAAAATATTATCTATATTTATATTATGAACATATTCACACGGTTTTATAAAGGTAAGATAGTATTGACTCAAAAGTTCAAAATAAAAATAATAAACGACTTAGATCTATAATATATATATACGAGTATAATATAATATAGGCATATAGCTCTGTATGCATAAAAAAAACATAATGAAATAGAACAGACCAACCCCGATCAGATTAATAGAATCATTTTTCGTAAAGAATACATTACATAATATATCACTGAATTCAAATTTAAAACATTCATTATAGTAACCTACTTCATACCTTATGTCCTAAGTAAGTACAGCAGACTCAGCAGAGCAATACTCACTTGCCTAGCTTTCATGGATTTACCCATAAATGTTTGATATCTATTTAATCAATTTAGCAGATTTTCATAGTTATTATTTATTACTATTATAAACATGTATAAATTATGTTTTCACCCCTATGGCCCTACCAATCAGTGTAAGGTGTAAGTATATTTAGACACGGGCGAATCGGAAAGTTGCTCGGGGCGCCAGAGACGCATTTGAAGGTGCTCAAAAAATTTTAAAAACTCATACAATTTTTTTTTTTAGTTGACGAAATAATGAACTAATATAAATATATTAATATAATCATATACATAACAATAATATTACCACGCATCGTGACTACAACTTTGGGGTACAATAACTTAAATCATCGTCAGTCGCGCGTCACTACCGCCGTACCAATTTATCTGACGCCGCGGACGGCTAGGCATGAATGTACACGTTTGTCGTGTTATTATATATTATGAAATGCATTTTCATTAAAATGGAAAAACTATTCAAAATAAAATTATTTGTATAATTGGAAACTTACTGAAACAATATACTAAATCGAGTTCAAAAAGCTATAAATAAAATATTGTGTTGGATTGCACTCAGGACATTAATCATGATGAACAATTTTCTTTGACTTTAAATTTTTTGATATAAATAAGAAATGCGCATTAAAGATAATTTTTAATGTTTGAACCAATAAATGATTCATCTGGTGAAGGAATTTTTGAAACTATTTAATAATGTTTAATTATTAACTAGAATTAAATAACAGTAGATCTCGGAGATACAATAATGGGGCAAATATGAAGAGTAAAAATAAAGACATACAAGCAAGAATATTATGAGCTAATTTTCGAGCTTATTTTATGCCATGTGGTTGTCATTTACTGAACTTAGTAGTTTAAGATAGTGTTTCTTGCTCTATTGAGTCAAAAAACTTTTTTGGAACGATTCAACGAATATACGTGTTGTTCTCTGCATCTGTGGGTCATTACTCATTAGTATATCTTAAAAAACACATTAAATCTTTATCTGTTAGGCCATTATGTAAGGACCTATGGGAATGTGGAATAGATTGTATTAATACAGTTTAAAATGAAATCTCACAAATAATAGAAGCACTGAAAGAATTAACTGAATTACTGACAATGTATAATCATAATATCTACAATAATAAATTGTCTAAAACAATAAAAATGTTATTTAAGCTACATTTTTAAGGGCGTCTTTTAAAAACTTTCCAAAGGCGCCATAATAACTCAGGTCGGCATTGTTTATTTATATCATTATAAAATAAAATATATGCTAGTAAATGGTAGGGGTTATATGTATAAACACACCTGATACAAATAATAATTAGGTATGTGTATAGTTGAGTGTGTGTATAAAGCGTATTGTACATAATATCATAAATGTAGTTATTTACTTTAAATAAAAACGAATATTATTTCTATACGACAAATAATAATTTTTTTATGATTAATACATTTTTTTTTTTTTATATAAATCAATATTTGTGTGACACTGTACATTTTGAAACTGGGTATCAAGGTTAAACGTGATCATTACGACTATATATCTCAACTAAGTTAAATTTAAATGATTTTTAGATTATGTAAGTATAGTATAATATATAATATACCTATATGTAGTTTATATGTATACAATAGTTTTATTTTCTAATGGACAATGGGATATTTTTGTAAAAAACAATCAACATAAAAATTTTAAATGTAAAAGTTTACAGTAATAGGGTAAATTATATTTGTCAACTGGTGTTTATTGCACGTCATAGAGACTATAGCTCATTAAAAGTTAATATAGTTAGGTATAAGATAACGCGGCTACTACGCAAAAACTGATAATTTAAGACTCGAATTATATTTGTGTTTATAATTTAAACATTATTTACATTCATACATACGGGCGAGCGGCAACATACTGTTGCGCACAACAAACAGGAGTAAACACAAATTATTACTTATACCTACTATTTAATCCTTTTACCGTAACAGTAACTGTAAACGATATATATTTTGCATCAATTGTAAGTTGAACTTTATAACAATATTACACGAATTCAAGCGACATGAAATTTAATAGCTAAACGAAGCTAAACTAGTACATGACTATATACATTATAAATACCTATAATATACATAAAAATATGTTACTTAAATAATAGGTAACTAACATTTCATACATGTACCTATGCCAACGTACCTCTTTTTTCACATTTTTGATGAGTTGTTCCTTAAACTTTTTACCTGAAAAAAAAAAACAGGAAAAATATTACTATATTCCCATATGTTAGCAAATGTAGGTACAAAGTAGGTATAATGCAAGGTATTCAAAAAGTACGTGGATTTATAGATGTTTTCGTAAATTCATATATAGTAATGTTTTATGCACGCTCATTATGTAGACCCCTTATTCCATTTTAGATTTCTGTACTTTTCGAACGCCCTAGCTATAGATACCTATGTATAATTTTATTATTATGGACATATTTTGTTCGACACCACTCGATCCTATCGTTGTCGTAGGTGAGCACGAGCGGTGTTCGAAGTTTTTCCCATATGTCACAGTCTAAAACGTACTGGTGTTGTTCGAATCCATCGTCGTAACCACAGATCGATGTATGAAAAGGGATGAAATTACGGCATTCAACAAGTGATGATAGTGTCGAGTTTGGGCATGTAGCAATAATTACGCTTTATTATTAATACGTCGATGATGAACGTGCGATACCTATTTAATATTTGTAATAATATTATCAACAACGATCGGTTGAAAATCGTTGATGTCAGTTAAGGGTGGAACTGCGAAATGGAAAAAAATCTTTAGTACCGTACTACAGAAATTAACACTCCGCGATCTATCGTCGCACGCAAAACGGACCAGACCACTGCGACGGTGACGGCAGGCGGGCTGACTGATTGACCGACGTACATAGAAAGAGGTCGGTCGGGCGAAGAGCCGATACTATAGAGAAACACTAAAGTTTACGAGGGCGGACTAGTGGACGACCGATAGGGGACCGCCCACCGACTAAAGTAGACTTTAGTCAGCGATGTTGCGGCGACAACGACGCCACCGGTGGGGTAATCCATATAGAGTTGTAGTATTATTATATAGGGTAACCATGGTCGCCAGTGATAAACGAATCCGATCGAATGGGCCGGCAATTGGTTACGGTTGTGTGGTGTTATTCAATGCCGTTGGTATAATATGGTTACAGTGTATATTCTATCTGTCACAACCATGGTAATTGGGCATGATCTATTCACCGAGGTACATATGCGCACTACATCAACCACCCAACTCCATTGCCGTCAATACAATAATTTTCTTAATGCGGCAACACTGATGCCGTTAGGTTGTTTTTGATTTGTTTTTATTTTTTCAATTTTTTTAGAGGTTGGTTTTTAAAGCTAGACTGCCAATGAAGTATAGAATTTTGTTATTTTATTTAAATCTTTTTTTTTAATTCTTAAAATAATTAAATTTATCATTACTCAAACTGACTTCAACGTTTCGTACTTTGCGGTTTTTAGAATATCCGCTTTCCCAAGTCGGGCACATTCTATTTATTTTTTTGTACAAACAAACACTTATGATTTTAAACATCAATTGTTTCTATTAAATGTTAAATTTATAATGTTCAATACATTTTAATCTCATCAGCTCTTCGGAATATCAAGTATATTTCTGTACAACTGTATGTTCCAAGTTAGTTGAATGATATTGTTAGAATTTTATGTATTTAGTAATTACTAAATAATTTTTGATCCCCATTAGCTATAATAATGACATCGTCAGAAGATGTGCTCCTTCAAGTGGGGCCAGTACGGCATAAGAAGGGTGATGGGACATTATATGTTATGAGTCAACATGTTGCATTTATTCTTAATTCTAGCGATACTGTTGCTATTAGCCACCATTATAGAGATATTAAAATGCAAAAAATATCGTCAGAGTTCAAAAACAAAGTTCAATTACAGTTGGTCTTTCATGATGAAACAATTTCACTATTTCAATTTACCAACTCAGAGAGGTACTATTTCAAAATAATAAGATTATTGATTTACTAATTTTTAAAAAATAAAACATCAAAAATATATTTGTTTGAATAAAAAAAAAATAATAAAGTTAAGCTTAAATATATTTATATACTTAACACAATCTTAGTTTTATATTTTTTTTTATGGTAAGTGTATATATAGTTATTTTAATGATGACTTTTGGTTATTAGGAGTGAAGCAATGCGTGATAGAAATCGAGTTAAAGACTTAATACAACAATTACTGCCAAAATATCAAAAACAGGCAAACAAAGAATTTGGTGAAAAAAGCCGTATTCTCGGTGAAAATCGCATGCTCTTTCAATTATATCAAGACCTAGTCATTACTCATGTTATAACATCTGAAGAATTTTGGTCACAACATGTCCCTTACCATTTAGCTACTCAATCCAAAGTAATTACTCAAAAAACCGGTGTACCTAATAATTTTCTTACCAATGTTACAGTCAAAAGTGATGGTACAAAAAAATTCAATTTATCTAATGATACCATACAATGTATCTTTAAAACATATCCAGCAGTTCGACAAAAGCATATAGAGTATGTACCACATCAATTAACAGAATCAGAATTTTGGCAAAAGTTCCTAGAATCACATTATTTTCATAAAGATCGTATTACTACAGGAAGTACAAAAGATTTATTTAATGACTGTGCCAAACTGGACGATAATTTATTTAAAAATGAAATTAAAGATTTGTCTAAAAAGAATACAGATTGTTATGTTGGATCAATCGAAGATGATGGATCTGATGATAATATAAATTCTATATCTGAAGAAAAATCTTCAATGGCAAATATTGTGCATGAAAATATTATTAAACGGTTTAATCAACATTCAATGATGGTTCTTAAAACATGTGAAAAATCTAATTTAAATTCTATACCTAATGGAAATGATTTAAAAGTACCATCTAATTCATCTCTTACAAATGGCATACAAGATATTACATTAAAGAGATTAAGAATTCAAGAAAAAAATGATTTTGAAGATCTAAATCCAGAAACAGAAACTTTGGATATTAATCAAAAGAAATTGAAATTATCTAGAGTAGAAAGTTATGTAAATTGTTTAACAAGAGAACATAAACATGATAATACTGCATCCAAACTTTCTAAAGCAAGGGAAATACAGAAGAGTATTATTTATGATGTTTATGAATGGAGCAAGTCAACTTCTAATCAAGTTATTGAACCTAGTGCAGCTGTTAATACTCTTGGTTTACTTACACCAGGAGGAAGTTTAATGAAAGGAATCAGTGATGAATCTGCTTCATTAGCGCAGTTAGTACCTGTTACAGTTGAAAAAGATTTGCGACAGTTGTATGTTTCTTTAGGAGAACTATTAAGACATTTTTGGTCATGTTTTCCTGTCACAACACCCGCATTAGAAGAAAAGTTGATAAAAACACATGATTCCTTGCAAAAATTTCAAAACGCTAAAATCAAGCCTTTTGAAGACCAAATAATTATTAATCATGGTCAATTGAATCAACTTACTAATCATTTAAATTTAATGTTACATACTGCCTACAATAAATTTTCTGTTTGGCATTCTAGAAGAAAAATACCTAATATTCTTTGACGAGCAGTTCATCATATATTTTTGTATTATATATTAAATGTGCAATGAGACATTATTAGAACATTTTGAAATAATGAAACATCAAATATTTTTGGTAAAATGTTTTAAAATATGAATTGATAAAAAAATCTATGATGCCATTGTATTAAAGGAAAATGTACGATCAATAGTTATTAAGAATTTATTTTTCTAGATTTAAGTCAAATACCTTTGATATAAATATTTTGTACTTGATACCCTATGGAGTATTTAGGGGTGAAGGGATAGAAAACAAGGCTAATTTTAATAAATAATAACTTGTTTTTATTAATTTGAATGAATACAAAATAATAATTTACAATACATATTACAAATAATGTGTGTACTTTAAACATAATTGACAGTAATTTAATTATATTCTTAAGAAATGTACTGATAATAAATATTTATTGTTCAATATCTATTGTCTAAGTAAAAATTCAGTTATTATTAAAATGTATTTATTTTTAACCAAAATACTTCAATGAAAAGTTGTTTTTCATTTATGCAAAATACATGCATTATTATTTTTGTTGATACTTTTTTAAATAACAATAAAATATTTATTTTGTTTTGATTCCTAGTTAACCATAGATATTATTCGCTATCCTACTATTCCTGAATTATATATTTAGGTATTGAAAATGAATATAATGTTGATAATATGTACAAACTCATTAATAATAAGTGAATACTGGCTAATAATTATTACCTACTAATTTTAGTTATTATTTTCTATGCAGTGGATTTTTATTAAAATATATTATTGAGCAAAATATCTAAACTTGGTAAATGTATTTATTTTATTAAAAAGAACTATATAATTATGCACAACTAGTGAGAATGGTAAAAAAAAGAAAGATAAACATGATGTAAGATTACATCCAGTGGAGCTCTACTTTGATTAATAAGCAAAAGAGTGGAACAGTTTAGATTAGAAAAGGTTTCTACGCAACTATGCTATTTTCTTTTTAGCTTTTTGGTGGGTAGTTAAGGATATAGTTTGAAGAGAGGTGTTTTACATTTGGGTTGGTAAAAAACTTAATTTACCATGAAGTTTTTGATAAGCAGTTTTGATTTTTTAAGTGCTGTTTGGAGTAGCACATCCCCATATTTGAATGCCTTAATACTATAATAGACGGATAAAAGCTTTGTAAATGTAAATTACAAATTTTATATCAAGTCTGGAGTTTAATTTTTTGCGTTTTTCAGTAATATGATTTTTCCAAATTAATCGTTTGTCAAAAATTAAACCTAAGTTGAACTGTTTAAGAGAAATTATTGGGATGGAGAGTACATGTGAGGTGCCTTATTTTGTCTAAGATAACTTTAATCTTCCAATTAGAGAATCATTTTCCCAATAACTTTGAGTAAGTAGTATTGGAGTTTGGAACTGGCAGTTGATGAGTTTCAGTCTATTATGAGAATCTTGTATTGTGGTGAAAGCATTGAGTATAGTAAAAGAATATGTAGGCTTATCATCAGAAGTATAAATTACGAATAATTGTGATACAAAATTAGAAAACATTTTAGTTATAGGAAAATACCAATTATTGAAAACAATTTTCAAACCAAATACTTATGTTAGTTATTTTGTTTTTGGATCAATATTATTGATTACATCATCGCAGACCTGTTTCATAAGGACGACCGTTATAGACATCAACAGGCAACAATCTTAGCCGTTTCTCACTGTGGCACATAATTCTTCTACATCATGATATTATAGAAAACAAACTGAGTCACAAGGAGTAAGACGAGGAAAAAAACAGAGACAGAAAAAAAGACAATTAACAAGAAGCTACCTTGCTTTCACACAATGAGGTTTCAGCAGAACGTGACTCTAATCGGGCACACACAAAATCTGTTTAAGAAAAGTGACCATCAAACGGTATATCAACTGGTTCTGAGTATATTATTTTTAAGGGTGTTTTTGATCTCAGATGGTCACGGAAACATGATGTTAATTCAACACAAAATGAGACAAGTTTGTGACCAGTGTCATTTTATAGGTAATTAAACACTATTATGATTAATTTAATTCATTAAAATAGATAAATTCACTATCATAGGTGTTTTATAAGTTCTTAAGCGACATTTTGTTTTTAATTTTTTTAGCAAGAATAAAAACTATTATTTTAGGTACTAAGGATTTATCATTCTACATACATTCAGTGTTTAAAATTATAAATTAAATCAAATAATTTGAGGGAAAGTTAGATAAGGTTTTTAAACAATTTCTTTTAAAACTAAATGGTATAATGTAGTTTGCAGAATAAGATCTCAAAAAAAACTAAGTTAATTTAAAATAATAAATATACAGTGTTTCATGATAAAATTGCAATAACTGAACATGTTCAACTTATCGATACAAAATTGTGTAAACATCAAAAAATCTTGGAAAATAAACGGCTAAACATTTTTTCATTTTTTTTTTTGAGAATAAGTTTTAAAAATTATATCAATAAAATAGGTATTTTGATTTTTTTAATTATAAAAAATAAAAAATTTCTTAATTTTACATACAAAATTTAAAAAAAAGAAAATCGAAAAATTCATCTAAATGTAGCCCAGATGACAATTATTAATAATAATTAAAAAAAAAAATAAGTTGAAAATGTTCAATAGAACAAAAATTATTGCAATTATCAATTCACCATGAAATACCCTGTATATTATGTAAAATAGAAAAATCATAATTTCCACCATTAAATTCAGTTATATATTTATTTACTTTTTGTTTTTTATTTGAGTTAAACAATCTATATAAATTATGTATAATAAGCTTAAGTGTTAACAAAAATTAAGGTTACAGCCAGAAAACATGAAGAAGCCGCTCACTGGCGACACTCCAGGTCAGAGTCGTCAGGTTAAATTATAGAAGTAGGTTGCAGTACCACTTTCTTTTCAATCTTTTGAGAGGGTTCCCAGGCATTGGATTAGTTAGATTTTTTGCTAGGATGTTGGGATGGTCGAAGAGTTTTGATAACGAGAGTAGGACTTGGTAGCGGTTTCTAACAAGATATTCATTTTAGGTCAGAGTGTAAGGTTTAGTTGGATACATGGAAAGCAGCCTTTGTTATCAAACGAAAACATTTATTTTAAGTTATTTGAATTTTGTTTATATGTGACTTTTTAGCAGAGCCCCATATTTGGATGCCGTACATCCAAATGGGTTTAAGGAGAGTTTTGTATAAGTTTAGTTTAGTGTGAAATGTAAGTTTTGATTTTGCGTTAAAGAAAAATTTAAGGGAACGAAGATGAGAGTTTAGTTTAATTTTGATGTTATGAGTATGATGGGCCCAGTTTAGTTTTATGAAAAATTTACTATACTTATTTAATTTATTGGTTTCTTTAACATAAAAATACTAAATTTAATGTCACGGAATGTTCATAAATTAAAAATTAAAATATAAATAAAAACATCACTCTTGGTTGTTTAATCAACATTTTTATTATCAATTTTTTCAGTCTGAGTAGCATCAGGTAATACTTCAGAGCTAATAAGTAACATTTTAACTAACCCATCAATAGCTAACAATCTTTTAGTCAATAATATTTCATTTTCAACAACTGTATGTAGTTTAGTGAGAAGTGCACGAACTTCAAGAGAGCAAGTGTCAAACAAATCCCAATAACAATCTGTAAAATATAATATTTTTGTATTAAAATTAAATTAATATGTAAGAGTTTCAAATTATATATATGTTTAATCTAGTAAAAACATTATGAGTAGAAAAATAATTCAAAATATTTTAACAAATGTGTATTAGACTTAAAATTATAATATTAATTATGTAATAATATGCAAATACATATAATAGGGTCTAGGAATTAAGTCTTGTTCGTACAACTCTTTTTCTATAAATATTTTCTTGAGTAAATAGAATACATTTATTACTTTGAGTTATAAGTATTTAAAATTAAAGTAAACAAAGTAGTAGATTAACATTTTGGAGGGTATTCCTGTAGGCTGAGTTACACTTTGTTAACCTATACTTAAGTAATTATAACTTAAAAAATATTTGTCCAAATTCAAAAGATTTTTGTGTATTTTAATACTTTGAAAAATATTATGCTTTAAGATAGGGGTCGGCAACTTGCAAGCCGCAAAGCCCTCAAAAACGTTAATTTTTGTTCAATAAAATTTTTCATATAATTATTTTTCCTTTATAAATAAAATCTAATCTAACTATTTTATAATAGCAATACAATTATAAGTATTATATCATAATAAGTAATTTTTTTTTTTTAATATGGCCCTTGATGAACAATTGAAAAAAAAAATGGCCAGCATGGTTAAAAAAGGTTGCCAACTCATGCTTTAAGATATGAAATTAATAATGTATGTTTATCACTTATCTTTGTATTTACTAAAAATATATACATCAAATACACGACTAACAAAACATAAATAATATACTCACCAATAACTGTTGAAGCCACATGTGTCAATGTTTTAGATAACTTTCTAACTCCAATGTACCGAACAATAAAATTCAATAAAAATGCCAATTGTTTCGAATTTCTACCAGATATTGCTTGTACTAAACCATTTCTCCTAAACATTAAAAAAGTGAATAGTATAATTTAAAATGAAAACTTTAGAAGTGCTTTTTAAATTAAATAACTACATGTTTTGCTTGTTTAAATAATATACTTAAACATCAATCAATATTAATAAACAAATAGTATACATTTTAAATATAAAATAAATTGATAATTATAGTAAGTGAAATAAATTACATATATACCTGCATAATTCATCAAACACATAAACTGTTATATGGGGTTTCTTGAATGCGACTGCATGAACTAAGACTAAATCTAATGCTTGGCTATAATTAAATTTCCTTAGAGCACTATCAAACTTGCTCATCTGATCAGGTTGCATTATTGGGACAGTCATATCAATTCCATCAGATTGGACAATTGCAGCTGCTCTAGCTTGGCGCTTTTTATTTTCATTTTTATGTTTTATCGATGTATCACGTTTAGTTA